TGTTTTTTTTAAGGCCGTTGGGGTTAAGTGACTTGCCCAGGGTCACACAGCTAGTAAGTGTCAAGTGTTTGGTCTGAGGCTGGATTTGAACTCAGGTCCTCCTGACTTCAGGGCCGGTGCTCTATCCACTGTGCCACCTAGCTGCTCCCCTGCTTGTTCTTTATAATATTGCTATATTCATTTTCTATTTGTGTGTGGTTGTTCTTTCCATTTACATTGTTGTAGCCTTTTAGCATATAAATGTTTTCTTGGCTCTATTTATCTCTCTACATCATTTCATGTAAATCTTTCAATACTCCTCTATATTCAACATTTTCATCATTTCTTTTTTTCCTTTTTTTTTTTTTTTGCAAGACAATTGGGGTTAAGTGACTTGCCTAGGGTCACACAGCTAGTAAGTGTCAAGTGTCTGGTCTGAGACCGGATTTGAACTCAGGTCCTCTTGACTCCAGGGTCAGTGCTCTCTCCACTGTGCCACCTAGCTGCCTCTGCTTTTCATCATTTCTTACAGAATAGTAATATTCTCTTACATTCATGTACTATAGTTTGTTTAGCCATTCCCCAAATTGATGGGCAGCTATTTTCATTGATGGGCATCTTTTTTTTTCCTTTACAATTCTTTGCATCACAAAAAGAGCAACTATATAGATTTTGGTGCGTAATAAGACTTTCTTCTTATCAATTACCTCCTTGAGGCATTAGTGTTGTAAAGGCATCTCTGGGTCAAAGGGTATGGATATTTTAGTCACTTTATTTGCATAATTCCAAATTGTTTTACAAAATGGTTGTACTGATTCTCAGCTCGACCAACAATGCTATAGTGTGCCTATATTCCACAACCCTGCCAACATTGACTGTAGCCATCTTTTATCATCTTTGTTCATTTGCAGAACACGAAGTGAAACCTGTGAGAGTTGTGAGAATTGAGTGAACCACACTGATTCCATCCTGTGAGTCAATTCTGGATCTAGCTCAGTTCCCTTTCTATTAAATTATGGGTCTACTCCAACTTCTGCCTCATGAGAAAACTGTATTGTATTCTTTGAACCTAGCCCTGTGTAGATGGGAAATGTAATTACCTCTACCTGTTTCTTAGCCACCCTTAACTAAGGGCCTGGGTCAGGGGTGAGGAACCTGCAGCCTTGAGGCTCTCTAGGTCCTCAAGTGTGGCCCTTTGACTGAATCCAAACTTCACAGAACAAATCCCTTTAATAAAAAGATTTGTTCTGTAAAACCTGAACTCAGTCAAAAGGCTGCACCAGAGGACTTAGAAGACCACATATGGCCTCAAGGCTGCAGGTTCCCACCCGTGGCCTAGATTATGCTGAGCAGAATACACAGTAAGATCCAAAGATTGATGCAAGGTGTTTTCTCACAATTATACATATCAAGCAACCCATATGTCTTATCTAAAAACTGGCCCTATACTGATCAATCAGTTATTGTTTCCATGTTCCCTTGATTGTTTACAGACACTGGGGGAGTGGGACACCTCTTTTTTCTGATTTCAAGGAATTGCATCCACTCTTGCTTTCCCCTCCCAGTTCTCAAAACTCACTCATCCCCCTTCCAACTCAAAAAGCCCCTAATCTTTCCTCCAATTAGAAATCAATGACCTAATCTAGTATCCTGATTTATATCCTATCTATTGTTATCTTTTAATGCATGAAAATTATTTCCCCCTGTATTTGGGGTCCAGTGTCAAGCTGAGGAAGCCTGGTCCTGATTTATTATGCAATTGGCATGCATTGCTTAATAAATCAATATGCTTGAAAGCTTGAACCTTTGTTTCCTCACTTATTTCAGATTTCATTGATGCAAACCTCAGGGTTGTTTTGATTTGCGTTTCTCTTCTTATTAGTGATTTGGAGCATTATTAATAGTTTGCAATTCTTTTTTTTTTTTTAATTTGGAGGCAATGGGGGTTAAGTGACTTGCCTAGGGTCACACAGCTAGATAGTAAGTGTCTGAGAACAGATTTGAACTCAGGTCCTCCTGACTCCAGGGCTGGTGTTCTATCCTAGTTTGCAATTCTTGAGTTGAGAATTGTTTGTTCCTATCCTTTGACTACTTACGTACTGGGGAATAGTTTTTGGTGTTATATATAAATATATACATGAATACATACATACATACAAATACATACATGTATGTATGACTCTATATTATATATTAATATATTAATATAGCTTAGATATAAAATCCTTATCACAGAAATTTGACACAAACATTTTTTCCAGTTCAACTGCTTCTCTTACCCTGGGTGCATTAATATTGTCTCTACAAAAGCTTTTCAATTTCATTTAATCAAAATAATCTATTTTATCTTTTGTAACTACCTCTGTCCCTCGCTTGGTTAATAACATATCTCCTATCTGTAGCTGGGTGAGGTAGATGATCTGTTTCTCTTCTCTTTTATATAGTATGATATATATCATACAATGTTCATGTATCTATTTAGAATGTATTGTGAACAGAAGTCTAAATGTTGATCTGAGCCTAATTTCGGCCAGACTGCCTTCCAGTTTCCCCAGAAATCTTTACCAGACAAGGAGTTCTTCCCTAAGTAATTCATGTTTTCTGGTTTCTTAAACATTGGTTTATTGAGGTCCATTGTTTCTGATTTTTCCTTGTCTAGTCTGTTCCATTGAGCTACCTCTACTTTTTAGCCAGGACCAGATGGTTTTGGTGACTTCTGTTTCATAATACAGACTGACATCTAGAAGTATTATTCCCCCTCCTTTCCTACCTTTATCATCATTTCCCTTGATATTCTAAATCTTTTCTTTTTCCAAATGAATTTTATTATTTTGTCAAGTTTTATGAAGTGTGTCTTTGATAATTTAATTAATATAAATAACATTAAAAGAATAAATTAACCTTGGTATGGGAGAAAAGAAACACTGCCGTTAGCATTCACAAGAGTTAGAACTGTTAGCAATAAAAGTTCCTAGAAGCCATTGGTGAACCAGAAAAACATTTTATTAATGACCTAGGCCTGGCAGGACCAGGTGTCCCATGTGTGGGCACACCTTACAGAAGGGAGAGCAAGGCTTTTTATTCCTAGGCCGGAATGGAAGTTCCCTCCCCTATTTCCCCATTGGCTGGGTAATGCAGGATTTATTTACAACCTATCTGGAGTGCCTAATTTCCCCAGGTGAATCTCTGCCCTTAATTACATCTCCCACTCCCCACATTTCCTTGTCAACAGTCTACAGCTGTCCATGCCCCAGCAGCACTGACTCATCAAGGGGTTTGGGGTACTTATCCACACCCTGATGAGTGATATGCAGAAGTACCATTCCCAACCACATTTTCTACAGAACTCTTTTATAGACTCCAAGGCAGATTTTCAATGTGTAAAAACAAAAAAAAATTTTAAAAAAAGCCCCATTTTCATAGATAAAATTTCTGTATCTGCAATTACCTACTTTAAAACATACAAAGCTTTTAGGGATCTAAAGAGGAGCTTCTGTTACGGAAATTTAGCTTTACTGCCCAATATTCAATACAACACAACAAACATTAATTAAGCTGCTGCTATGGGCAGCTAGGTGGCTAAGTAGATAGAGTGTTAGACCTGGATTTAGGAAGACTGGAGTTCAAATCCTGCCTGAGACATTAACTAGCTGTGTGACCCTGGACAAGTCATTTAACCTATTTCTGCCTCAGTTTCCTCATCTGTAAAATGAGGATAATGATAGCATCTACCTCCCAGGGTTGTTGTGAAGATCAAGTGAGATAACAATTGTAAAGTCCTTAGCATAGTGCCTGGCACACAGTAAGTGCTATATCAGTGTTAGCTATTTTCTGTTAGAGTTGGGCTCTGCTGACTTCTCTGGTGGGGGTGGGGTCACTGTCCCAAGCTTCAGGTTCTTTCTAGCTGCTATTTTCACAGATAGTTCTGTAGGCCTGTAAGTTTTCAGTACTTCCAAGGTGATATGATCTGGAGCGAAGTCATACTTTGCCCTGGTAAGGGCAATGGTTCCCTACTCTCTCAAAACCACAACTCCTCTCTTCCCATAGCCAGGGAGGTCCTTTGCTCCCATTAATATCCCATTTCCTTCTTTCTGCCCTGGAACTATGACCCAGAACTTAATAATGGACAACAGAGTTGCCAAATGACACCTCGTCCTGTGCCCAGTGCTAGCACAGGGGTCCTCTAGAATCTCTTTCTGACCAGGTGTTCAATCTCCTTACTATCGCTGAGAAGTCCTGTTACCTTCACTGCTGCTGCTGCTGCTGCTGCTGCTGCTATCAGCTGATATCATTGCCCTGCTTCCTTCTCAGTCATCCCCAACTCCTGTGCCTCCAACCTCTCCTTCTGTCCTCCTAAATTGACCTGGGCTGGAAAAAAAGGTCTCACCCCAACCTTTTATTGGTTATGCTGCTTTAGAATTCAACTTGATGTATTATTTTAAAATTGTTTAGAGAAGAATGTTGGGAGAGCCTGATTTACTTCATACCTTGGCTCTGCCCCCAAAGTGACAGTTTCTTGGGGAGGGGAATAGCAGAAAATGGTTGACAGAAAAGTTCTCTTCTCTATTTCTCTATCCCTATCTCTGCCTGTTTCTCATAATGTATGCATATTTCTACGTGCAAGCATCTCCTCTTATTTTCTTGCACTTAGTGATTAAAGTCTGCATCCAACTGTCCACAGCAAAGTAAGTGAGAAATCCACCCCTCCTCTTGTCCTCATCATTATAACATAGGCCTGAAAAGGAATTGGCATGAGAGCCAGCAACACAGAATTTGTTTGGACACATCTCTGGAAACAGACAAGGTGCCGTGGCAATTAGGGATTTAGATCAGCTGAAGCTTACCTCCTGGGCCTTTGATTCTTCCTTTAGTGACCTTATTTTAAAAAGGGGAGGGCGTATTCCACAAAGTAGGATAGATACTTTGAATTGGACCTTCCAGTTAAAAATGAACCAGATCTTTCCATCTTGCTCCCCATTGGTTAGGTAAGCCTTTTTTTTTGTCCTCTAGAATCCAGTATCATGGGGCCCAGCAGTAGCAGTACTGGGACCTCTGGTCTCACAGAGATGGTAAAGAGAATGAAAGGTATTCCCGGGGGGCCCCTTGTTCATAGGACTGGGTGCTATTTGGCAACACCAGTGTTAGCTATGTGCTTGATGAGGCTTCAGTGTTGGTGTATCCTTTCCTTTCTACAGCCATTGACTGCTTCACCTCTTTGGTCAATTACTATGACTAATTGAGGCAAACCAGTTAGTAGCAGTTAGCTCTACAATGACAGAGAGCTAAGCTAAGTTCATTTGTGTTATCTAGTTAGGGAGAAATGCATTTTTATTTTATCCTTTTATTACCAAATATCTCAGGAAGGGCCTCACTCCAGGATTAGGTGGACTGAATATACACCAGAAATGGGATACTGGCTACAAGTATATCGATCTGCTCTCTTAAATCTTATTTGTCTAGGACGAGGATGAGAGGGGAGGACCTGCAGCCTCGAGACCACATGTAGCCCTCTAGGCCCTCAAATGTGGCCCTTTGACTGAATCCAAACTTCATAGAACAAATCTCCTTAATAACAGGATTTGTTCTGTAAAACTTGGACCCAAGCACCTAGAAGGCCACATGTGGCCTTGAGGCTGTAGGTCCCCCCCTCCTACCCCTGGTAGGGCATATGATCTGGTTCCATCTGATTTCTGATCTTCAACATTTCTAGGGGGTGGGGGATATTGTCTGACAAAGATGTTTTCCCTATATTCCACAAGGTTTTGAGCAATTTTGGTGTGATTCTACTCAATTGAAAGGTGTGAAAAAAGTACACACATGTATATCCATTATCATGTTGCAGTCTACCAAAAGGCATACAACTGACCGATCTCCCTTTTTTCTGCTTGTACAGTTCTCACTAGATGGAAAAGTTGTTATTGCAGTCAAATAGAGTCAGTTCTCAATCAGCAAATGTTGATTTCTGTGGCATAAACTGCCTAGCACTGGAAAAAAAGTTAGGCCACCAAAGAAAAAACATGTTGTTGTTGTTGTTTTTCCCTGAGGACCATGATATATATATTTGAAAATTAGAAGGCCTGCTGTAATCAATAAATATCCTGGAACTTATCAGATTCACTCTCCTTATCTATTAGGTTTCTCAATCAATGGAATAGACTATGTCCACTTCATACTGTTAGAAGAAAGCAAGATACTGTATTCCCTTTCAGTTTCTTGAGGTCCATCCTCAAATAGCCTGTTTAAACTTCTACTTGAAATCACATTGTGGTCTCTAGGAGGAATCCAGAAAAATCTAAAGGAATAGTTTAGCACAAGATGTTAGAAGCCAAGAATGTGATCAAAGACTGGCCCTGACAAAGATATTTTTGTTGTATTCCTCATGGCTTAGTGCAGTTTTGTTGTAATTACTATCAATTGAAAGGACTGAACTGTTTCTATAGAAAAGAATGAACTTTTGCTTTTGGGGAGACTGCAGGATCTATGAGTATTTGGAGCATCTAAATCAATGAAATGGAAGGCTTTTTCTAATGACCAAGGTACACACCTAGATATCCAGTCTCACATTTGAATTTACTAAATGTCATGTAACCCACAGGTCTTATTCCATTTTGGTTTGTCCACTTCTCAATTGGTGGGATTTGTTACTTCAATCAAAATCAAAGGCATATGGCAAAATGGAAGTAAGATACTTAACTCTTATCCAGCTTGTAGATGACCTTCATCTAATATCTAGTCAAAATCTTGACTTCTTGTCTTGTTCTCATCTATTTTGGAGACAATGCCAGCTTTTAGGAAAAGACGATAGCTAGAGGAATTAACATACCTATGCAGAAATCAGGCCCATTCCTTGAAGTAAAGTTGTTACTTATATTCATCATTCTACCTTCTAATTTTGTAATTGTAATCAAATGAAGCTAGATTTTTCTCTCAATTGGCAGGGATGGAATGATGATTTCTGTTTCAAAAATGACTTAGAAAAGGATAACATATATTTCACTGATGAAAATTCATTGTTATGTGTTGGAACCATGATATCTAGTTGGCTATCAGGGAACTTCCTGGAGCTTTAGACATGGCCTGGAACTTAACAGATTCATTGTCTTTGTGTGTGTATGATTCACAATCAATGGAATAGATTATGTTCTCAATCAAGGAAAGATAGTGAAAGAGGAAAGCAGTGCACTTATCTCCCAATTGATTTCTTGAAGTTCTTCCTCAAGCAGCCAATCTGTCATTCCACTTCAGGTCACATAGTGCCATGTACTAGGAATCCTGGAAACCAAAATAGAAAAGCTCAATATAGTCTGTTTGATTCATGGAATATTATCAGTGTTTGGCATATTGCCTGACAACAATGCTTTTGCTATACTCCTTAATATTCTGAGATGAGAAATATTGCTGTGATGCTACTTAATTAAAAGGTTTGTTTTCTTTCCATAAAAATCCATGAAATCTTTCCTTTGGAAGACTGAGGACAATATGAGGATACAGAGCATCTATGCTAATTGAATGGAATGCTTTTTTTCATGAAAAAGATACACACTTGGATATCTAATACCTTTTTGATGTATACTAACTGACATGCCACTGACTGATCTTATTACTTTTCTGTTGGTATAGTTCTCAATTGATGGAATAGCTTACTTCAATAAAAAGAAATGGCCCACAGGCAAAGGGAGGCAAGATACTTAATTCCCATCCTGACTTTAGAGGACCTCCATCTAATAACCGGTGGAGAACTCTAACTGATGTCACATTGATATCTATACTTATGGCAATAATGGCAACCTTTGGGAAGGAGACAAAATAATCTAGAGGTATTAATATATCTAAATAAGAATTTCATCCATTCCTTGAAACATTTACCAATATTGTTCATCATTTCTTCCAGTATAGTTGTTCCTAGATTCAAATGAAGTTGGCTTTCTTTCTCAATCAACAGGAGTCAACTGTTGATTTCTGCTAAAAAAAATGCCTAAAATTGGGTAAAAGTCATTTCACCAAAGAAAAATCATGGTTATCTCATCAGACTATAACACAGAGTTGTTAATCAGAAAGCTTCCTGGAGCCTTCTAAATGGCCTGGAACTCACCAGATTTTTGCGTGAGTATGCTTCACAATTTATGGAACAGATTATGTCCAAGTCATGGGAGGATATACTTGAAGAGTAATGAAAGGCACTTTCAAATCAAAATCAATCAGATTCTTGCAGTTCTTCCTCTAGGAGCCTATCCATCCACTTCTTGTCACATTATGATATATAGGAGGAATCCTGGAAATACTAAAGGTAAAGCTCTACAATAGTCTGTTGCTTTCATGATAAGTAATCAAGACTTTAGTACATTGCCTGACAAAGATGCTTTTCCTATATTTCTCAAAATTTTGAGCAAATTCATGGTGATTCCACTCAATTTAAAGGATTAATTTATTTCCCCAGAAGTTCATGGAATCTTCACTTGGGGAAACTGCAGACTATATATATAAAGATATAGAGCACATAAACTAATCAAATTGAGTGCTTTATCTAGTGAAAAAGACATACACCTAGATATCTAATACCTTGTGGAAGTCTATGAAAAGGCATGTAACTGACCAATCTTATTTCTTTTCTGTTTGTATGGTTCTCAGTTGATGGGACAGGTTATTTCAATTTTTAAAAATGGCCTTTGGCTAAAGAGAAGAAAAATACTTAACACTTATCCCATTTGTGGAGGACCTTCATCCAATATTCTGTGGAGAATTGTAATCGATGTCACGTTGCTGTTTATATTGGAAATAATTGCAGTCCTTTGGGGAAAAAACGAGGAAGTAATCTAGAGGCACTAATGTGCCCAAAGAGGAATTTGGTACAATTCTCAAAATAAAAACATTGACCAATATTGCTCATCCTTTCTTCCAGTTGTATTGTTTTGGAAGTCAAACAGAGTTGGCTTTCTCTCTCAATCAGTGTGAATCAAATATTTTCTGTGGCAAAAACTGCCTAGCACTGGATAAAAGTTATTTTACCAAACAAAAATCAAAATCTTCTCTACAGATCTTGATATAGAGTTGAAAATCAGTTTCCTAGAATCAAAAAATGGACTGGAACTCACCAGATTTGATCTTGTGTGTCCACGTTTCTTAATCAGTGGAACAGGTGATATTCATTTCATGGAAAGATATACTGTAAGAAGAAAACATACATTATGACATATGTTATGCCTATTCAGTTTCTTGAAGCTCATCGTCATATAGCCTGTTCAGCCTTTCACTTCACATCACACTGTAGCCTCAAGAAGGAATCCAGAAAAATCTAAAGGAAAAGAGAGACTGTTAGAAGCCCGGAATGTAATTGTGGATGTGGGCTGACAAAGGTATTTTTGATGTATTACTCATGGTTTAGTGCAATTTTGGTGGTATTTTACTTAATTGAAAGGATTGAGTTATCTCCATAATTCTGCCTTTTTACGTTTGTTTGCATATCCCTGAGCATTCATAAATGGCACATTTTTGTAAAAATACAGTATTATGCAGAAATATAGGTTTTTTTTTCTTTCTTGGTTTTTTGCAGGTCCATTTAGAAGACAATAGAAGTCTTTTAGCACTAATTTCTCCTGCTATTTGGTCATTTCTATATTGTTCTCTTTTGTTTATCTTTGTTCCCAAAGGGTTGCCATTATTTCCAATATAGATAACAAGGTGGCATCAACTGTGGTTCTTCACAGGACAGTAGCTGAAACACAGAGCATTAAGTGTCATACTTCTCTTTAGCTGTAGGACATTTCCACTTACCTAAAACTGAGAGACTGTTGAAATGTCTTGCTGCCATTGTGTTACTGACTAGGTCTTCTTTGGTTCAGTTAATGTTTCTTTTATGAATTTAGATGCTAAGTCATTTACAGCATAAAAGTTTAATATAAATGTTGGTTTGCTATCTATGGTTCCTTTTAGTCTAAAGTAGTTTTGACATCACTTTTAATATTTTGATTATTTGTTTTTGCTTTGTCATATAACATGATTATAACTCCTGCTTTTTTGGATTCATTTGATACATAGCAAATGTTTCTTTAGCCCCCCATTTTTATCCTCT